CAAATTAATTTTATCTTTATTTTCAAACTCATCCTAATTCTTTATTTCAAATTCATTCCCATTCCCATTTCAAAACCATGTTCAGTCCTCACCCTCGCAGTCGACGATAGGTGGCGCCCACGTCATGGTGTCCTTCGAGCAGGAAGCATGCTGCAGCTTGCGCGGGGCGTCATCCGTACCGGGCAACATGTAACCAATGTTGCACGTCACTAGCACGTAGGTGCCAAACACCGGTAGCAGAGTCTCCGTGTAGTTCCACGTGGCGTGAGAGCGCCCCGGATCCAGGGCCCGACACCGGCGCACTGCCGGGAAGTGTTGACGTGATGCGTGAATAATAATAGTTATATTACGCGTGGGTGCTTTATAATATAGCGTGATAAATGTTGCATTTCGGATTTGTGAAAGGAGAGCGAGGAAGGTTGGTGGCAGCAGGGAGAGAGTGAATGTTCGTACGTGTGTGCGTGTGTGCGTGAGAGTGAGTGTATGTCCGTGTATTCATGTGTGCCCGTGTGCGTTCGTACGTGCGTGTCTGTATGTCTGTGCACGTGAGAGAGAGGGGAGGGAAAAGCGGATGGAGAGAGCCGGCAAGAATGAAAAAGAGCAGGCATGGAAGAAGCCATTCGAAACTATCAAACCGTCAAGGCACGACGATTTTACGCAAGCTGCATTAATATCATATCAGAAAGAGATACAGTATGAACTAGAATCAGAGATAGTCTTTACACAATTAAACGACCTATATTAGTTCATATTAATTAACGGCGCGCGTTTATGGCTGTCCGTCCATACTCACGATCACAGTCCAGTTCTGTCGTATCCCACACCTTGTCGGCAGTGCAAACACTCGTCTTCATAGTAGATCTCGCCAATATGTACTCGTAGTTGGGAAAGCACCAAATAGTTGTCATCTGGTTGTATTCGTTAACGGGAACCGCGACAGCGTATTGCAGATCGAGTAGCATCGGACAGTGCTTGACTGAAACATAAGCATCACGGATATACTATATATACTATATATAGTAAAGAGGAGGCGATAGATGGAGAGAGAGAAAGCGAGAGAGGGAAGCGTTAAGGGGAGAGTCGGGGAGACAGAAAGATACACACCAAGAGAAGATAGTCAGACGGGAGAACCGGCGCCATTGCTTTCGCGGCGCGACTGTTGCACGCTAGTCCGCAAATGCAGACGTATAAACTCCGCTTTGCTAATCTGAGGGTGCGGGTTTATTACCCATTACTGGGGTCTGCGTCGGCTCGGACTAGTTGCACGCTTGCACAAATATATAGAGTGCACTCTATAAAAAACGCTATTCGAAATTCGAAAAGCTCCGAAAACCGAAATGTTTTTCGTAAAGTGTCACTCGTGCACCACGACATGACACATATGTACGTGACATGTGACATAACAACTGTAATATGTTTTACAGTCTTTATGTAATCCAGCTCAGTGTATATATTCACACGGTTTGCTGCTGAAACATTATTGTGTTTGCTTACAGGGTACTGCCATATAACCTGCTCCGATGTCATTATATAATGCTAGGATTGCAATATAATAATATGGCATAATTATTATGTAGACGTTTTTTGTAACGAAAAGCTCCGAGTATCGAAACGCATTTGACCTCAGGGGTTCGTACATAAGATTGTAAAACTGTATATAGCTTTTCTGTCAACGACGACAGACAACATCAAAAGCACATGAACTGCTTCTACATAAACTATACAGTTTATGTGCACTTGATTGTGTAGCGTTTTGGGATCTTCCGGCGACACCCGATGGCGCCACCGGTCGAAACGTAGTGACTAGCAACAACCTTAGGTATTTCACTCACCTGTTGTGCCCGGAGGCGTTGAAATGGCCGTATCGTCGTCAACCGGACTCCGCTAGCCACTCGAGTGCCTCAGTGCTACTGCGCTCCCTCCGCAATAACCCGTTCCACCGTGTTCCGGTTCCGGTGCGTCGTATAGTTAGTCAACAATGCAAGACGAGTAACGACACGCACACACAACAACGGGGCAACTCCCACCCTAGATACAATAATGTAACCCCACAAGAGTCCTACTCTTGTTGGGTTACACTATTGTATCTACTCCCACCCTTGCCTGTTGGCCTCACTGCACTGTTGAATAACAAGTTTATACCCGGGGTAAGCACAGAGGTTAAACAAATAGAACAAACTATGAACGCAGCCGGGCAAAGGGCTACAGTAACCGGCAGCCTCCCCTCCCGTGCAGCCGTGCACGAGTAGACTAACTTCCCCTCTATTCGTGCAGAGTTAATACTTCTACTCTAGTACTGTATTATTTACTCGCCCCACAACAACAGGACAATACTGGGTCCTACTCACCGAATGGCCGCTCTACGCAGAACGCGGTGGCTCTCTCTTTCTCTCTCTATACTCTCTGGTTTTCTCGCTCTCTCTACTCTCTTTTTTCTCTCTCTTCTCTCTTCTCTCTCTCTCTCTTCTATGCACAACCCTGTCTCCTCGTTCGCCTCCGCCAACTGCAAAGAAACCCACGACGATTCTTCGCCTATAACTGCGGGCCAACTGTTTCGCGTGCTCTGCCGCCAGTGCGGATTAACCATAAGCAGATAAGCACGTGCTTAGGGCAACCAAAGGGCAAAGGGGCACCCAAAGTTGCGGGAAAAGGAGTAAACAAAAAAAAACGAATAAAAGATTTGTACTTCCAGGTGTACCACAGGCGGCCCCCAACATACAATACAAGGGGCCCCTATGCCGCACAACCAAGGTGCTAATGTTCCAATTATCAAGAGTGAAAGGTACTCAAAGACTTGTCAGACACCACTTGAATGCTTATCCAGATACATGAACACAACTCTTTGTCTACAAGCTTCAGCAGTTCCATTTCATGTTCTTCATAAGTTTAAAACAACCAAGAAACATTCTTTCACTTCAACGACTTTTACAACCATTACAGAAGACAATGTAATAGAGAGTGCCTTTCCAATGCTTGAATTGTCCTAAGAATATTTTTAACATTATGGTCGACCAACTGCCACAAACAGAACGGTCTTTCTCAAACTAAAGGTGTAAAAAAACAATAGATTACTCTAGTCAGAATGAAATGTAATGCCATGTACGCTCAAATGTCCTCAAATACATCTCCTGTGCATCTCAACTTTTTAAAAGTTCTGGGCGAGGACTTCCCATGCCCGCCTGTTTATCACACCTCCTGAATTCTACTACATTTTTGGTACTGCTGCACACTGCTTGGATATTTCCGGTCAGCAGTGAACACTAAAAACGGACTGGGTCGTGTGGAAGGAGCAGGGCACCAGCATTGGTCAGTTGCTTAGGGCCACAGTGAGCCTTAATCCGCCCTGTCTGCGCTAGGGGGCGACTACTGCCCAACATGGCTGGCCCTCTTGATTGATATCTTACATCGCGTAAGCCAAACCAAGAGAAAAGGCAAATAGGACAGGAAACTTAGTGACAATTACAAAACACTAAAAATTTACCATATTCCGGTTCCAGACGGCGAGCTGCCCCCCCGTCTGGAAGCCTGACGGGCCGGCGCTACGCCTTACAATTGCATAGATAGCGGTAAACATACATCGGGATAGACTGCTGCCGAAACACTTCTGACAGTTTATGATAGCAGCCAGCCAGAATCACACAGCAAACCTCCCCTCATATAATACGCATTTGACTCACCAACTCAAAAACACTCATCCTTCCACGCGAACAAGACCAATAGTCGCTAGCGTAGAAAGCTTTTGCTTCAAATCACAAAGAAAGTTCGTCTAGCATCCTGTGTCAGGGATGCATCGCTGGCATGCAGGAATACTATGCCTATCCCGGGGCTGGAGGGGCAGGTGACCGCAACGTGAACGTGGCAGCACTAGTTGCGGATGTGTTTTTTTTTTTTTAGGATTAGGGTTAGGGTCAGGTTAGGGTTAGGGTTAGGGTTAGGATTAGGGTAGCGTTAAGGTTGGATTAGGGTTATGGGGTTAGGGCTTAGGTAGGTATTAGGGTTAGGCGTTAGGCATTTTGCACATGATATCTGTCCACACACCATAGATTAATTTTTTGTGCGATCACATATGCCATTATATATAGCGCGGCCGAACAGTATATATGTTGTGGAGTGCTTAGTTCATGCCACAGCCGTCTGTGTTGGAGTGCAGTGTTACCTTTAGGTAAACGTTTGAACGTCCATCGTCAACGTATATCACGTGACCTCCTCCACGCCCTGGATAGCCAACACCCGCTGGTGCTGATTGATTTCACGTTGTCGAGGCAGACGTCAGGCGGTGTGTTGGTACTTCTTTTGTTCTTTTTCTGAGGTGCTCCCGATGTTTCACAGACGAACGCAACATCTGGCTGTGGTTCTAGAACACCACAATGGAAACCTGGTTAAGTTATCACAGCTTTTGTGTGTGGGTTTCGGCGCGCTCAGGGAATCCATTGGGCCCCCCGTTGAATTTATTGTCAGCAACAGTTTACGATCGGAAAGCGGAATATTTTCTTTAGCTCTTGTGTGGGATGTGCTTATGTCGCTGCTTGCGTCGTGTGCGTGGCCATCGTATTAGCAGATACTTACTGCGATCTAGGCGGGATATGTAGGCAGCTTGAACTTCCGTAGATAACCGATGCTTCTTTCAATGACGCCGCCAGCGTTAAGTAAATGTAGCGGATGTTGTCTTTTTGGATTTCTGTGTTCTATGTCGACGATTTCGCTGGGTAGTTGCTATTTGTTAGTATGCGTGATTGTTGTGTTGTTGTTGATTTGTTGTTATTGTTTGCCTGTGTCGTCGTGTTGTTTTGTCGACGCCGTTCGCTCACTTGAATTTGTTTTGTATTTATGCGTATGCTCATTTTATGCTTCACTCAGAACAAAGACAATAGCAATTAACCTGAAGCAGGAATCACACAGCCCTTCCCTCATATAATACCGCACTTGACTCACCAACTCAATAAACTATCCTTCCCCGTACAAGCCCAATGTCGCTAGGCGTGAGAGCCTACTTGTTCAAAGCTCTCGAACGATAAGAAAAAGTTCGTCTAGCATCGTGTCAGGGAAGCATCGCTGCTGCTGATTAATCACGTAGCTACGCAGGCGGAGTCGCGGTGGAGGTACTTTTCTGTGTGTCTGTCTGTGAGATGCCGATGTTTCAACAGACACAACGCAACATCTGGCCGTGGCATCTTTAAAAATGAGAAAATGTCGTGGTTAAGCTTATCAACAGCTTTTGTGTGTGGTGTTGCCGGCCGAGGAATCATGCCTGCTGAAATTTATGCTGAGCAACAGCTACAATGGAAAAGCGGATGTTGTTCTGTACTCTTGTGGATGTGTTATGTCGCCGTGCTTGCGTCGTGTCGATGGCCCATGTATTTTAGAGATATTACTGCCGATCAGGCGGGACTATGTTAGAGCTTTGCAATATGTAGAGCTTTAGAATCTCCTAAGTACGATGGCTCTTCAATGACGGCCACGTTAATAAATGTAGCGGATGTTTCTTTTTGGTAGAGTTTCTGCTTTCTCAGTCGACGATGTCTCGCTGTGTAGTTACGTATTTGTCTGTATGCGTTGTTGTTGTTGTTGTTGTTGCTCTGTTATTGTTGCTGTTGTCGTCGTTCGTTCTTGTCGACGCCGTCGCTACCATTGAATTTGTTTATGTATTATTATGCGATGCCCAATCTTTATGCTTCACTCAGAACAAACGACAATAGCAATAACTGAAGCAGGAATCACACAGCACCTCCCCTCATATACATACCGCATTGACTCACCAACTCAATACACTCATCCTTCCCACGCGTACAAGACCCAATAGTCGCCTAGCGTAGAGAGCCTCTTGTTCAAAGTCGAACGAAGAAAAAGTTCGTCTAGCATCGTGTCAGGGAAGCATCGCTGGCTGATTGATTTCACGTAGCTACGAGGCGACGTCGCGGTGGATGGTACTTCTTCTGTTTCTTCTGTGAGTGCTCGATGTTTCAACAGACAAACGCAACATCTGGCGTGGCATCTTTAAAAATGAGAAACTGGTTAACTTATCAACAGCTTTTTGTGTGGGTTTGCGCGCTCGGAATCCATGCCTGTTGACATTTATTGTAGCAACAGTACGATGGAACAGCGGATATTTTCTGTAGCTCTTGTGGATGTGTTATGTCGCGTGCTTGCGTCGTGTGGTGGCATCGTATTATAGATACTTACTGCGATCAGGCGGGATATGTAGAGCTTTGCAGATATGTAGAGCTTTGGAACTTCCGTAGTAACGATGCTTCTTCAATGACGGCCAGGTTAATAAATGTAGCGATGTTTCTTTGTAGATTTCTGTGTTTCTCAGTCGACGATTCTCGGGCGTGTAGTGCTATGTGTCTTGCCGTTGTTGTTGTTGTTGTTGTTGTTGTTGTTGTTGTCGTCGTCGTCGTTGTTGTTGTTATCGGTACCGTGAGTAGTGTCATCGTCGTCGTCGTCGTTGTTGTTGTTGTTGTTGTTGTTGTTGTTGTTGTTGTTGTTGTTGTTGTTGTTGTTGTAATTGTTGTTGTCGACGCCGTCACTACCATTGAATTTATTTATGTATTTATGCGATGCTCAATCTTCATGCTTCACTCAGAACAACGACAATAGCAATAACCTGAAGCAGGAATCACACAGCACCTCCCCTCATATACATACCGCATTGACTCACCAACTCAAAACACTCATCCTTCCCACGCGTACAAGGCTAGGGATGACAAAGCAGAGAAGACAATGAGTGGGTTTAGAGAAATCAAAGTATCGTAACTCCACACTTACCTCTGTACGGCATCGTGGCAGGAGAGTCCATGTTAGGTGGCTTACTCGCACATTACACTTAATAGCCAAATAACGTGCAAACGTTAATATAACATTGTTGGCTATAATCATCATGCTTTGGGGCATAGTTAAATGAGGATATGGTTACCTATCAAAATTAAGTTAGATATGTATTTCCCCAATCCTAGCATCCATATTAACTGCGTTAATCACGCTAAAATTGATCGTGAACGAAGTTTAGAACGAAGTGAGCATTCGAAACGCAACTTTTTACCACGCGTTTTCCACGAATTCCAGTGAACTCACCTACGCAACACTTTGTCACTTTGTGCTGCACAGGAGACCACTTGTATGGTAGTGTTCATGTACATGTGGCTGTGTGTGTGTGTGTGGGGAGGGGGGGTACGTACCACACACGGGCACGGGTCTGCTCCAGGTCTTGTCGTGCGTGCACATGATCGTAGCTTTACCATACAGCTCGCGGCCGTACCCGCACGAGTACGTCACGTAGTCATGGTAACGGAATTCGTCTCCGACTCTCTTGCCGTGTTCAGGGTAGCCGGGGTTAGGGCAGCGAACGCCTGCGTGACGTCAACACGTTATCCAAGCGCACAACATACAACATACACCATACAACATACAACATACAACATACAACATACAACATGCAACAAATTGATGTTGCTGTTGACGTGCTTTTTTAAAACTTCGTAAGCATGTCCATACCGTGTGTAT